ATTGTGGGGGGAGGAGATGGCTGCCTTGTATGGGAGAGGAGACTACGTTGTGGGAGAGTTTGCTACTTCTTATGGGGGATGTGGCTACATTGTGAAGGGAGAGGGGGTCTACATTGTGTGGGGATATGGCTACGTTGTGGGGGAGAGGTGGATACGTTGTGGGTGAGAGGTGGTTACGTTGTGGGGGAGAGGTGGATACGTTGTCGGGGAGAGGTGGCTACGTTGTGGGTGAGAGGTGGCTAAATTGTGGGGAAGAGGTGGCTGCTTTGTATGGGGGTGGTGGCTACGTTGTGTGGGGGGAGATGTCTATGTTGTATGGGGGTGGTGGCTGGGTTGTATTGGGGAGTTGGCTGCGTTGTGTGGGGGAGGTGGGTGCGATTTTATACCTATGGCAATATCTGACGCCCAAATTATTTTATCATATAAGCAACCATTTTAAAATGCCCGTAAATACAACAGTGGGTTAAGATGTTCTATAAAGTTAAGAAAATATTTGTGTTCCTATTTGTGCACAAAAAAGCAACAGATTGATTGAGAAGCGCGTGACATATGAGCTTAATAATATTAAAAAAAAAAACCTCGGCTGTTGTATACGTGAACTATGGGAAAGAGGTGTTTCTTTAGAGAAAGAATTCAGTGTTTGAACCTTTTTTCAATAATAGGAGTGAGGGAAAAGTTTGGGTACATTTGGAATGAACTTGCTAATAGATTAAAATCCATGAATGTTGCAAATATTGAAACAAGTCAAAATACTTTTGTTGGTTTGTATGGACATCTTTTTTTCATTTTTTTAAAAAAAAGATAGGTTTGTCTTTGTAGTTCAGGGGCGTGAAAAGGGACTGTTTATAGGTTTGTCTTGTAGTTCAGGGGCGTGACAAGGGGCTGTTTATAGGTTTGTCTTTGTAGTTGAGGGGCGTGACAAGGGGCGGTTTAAGCCTTTATTAAGTAGAAGATAAAAATTTCCTTAATAAAAAAACAATGGTGTTAGAAACTAAACATCTTTTTATAGAAACTACTTTAAAATTAAGGACATTCTGATTGACTATATCCTAACCCTAACCCTAACCCTAACCCTAACCCTAACCCTAACCCTAACCCTAACCCTAACCCTAACACTAACCCTAACCCTAACCCTAACCCTAACCCTAACCCTAACCCTAACCCTAACCCTAACCCTAACACTAACCCTAACCCTAACCCTAACCCTAACCCTAACCCTAACCCTAACCCTAACCCTAACCCTAACCCTAACCCTAACCCTAACCCTAACCTAAATATAAGTTTCAAAGGTTTTAAAGTAGCGCTAAATGCCTTCCACTCAGTGTTTCTTTCAGAAATTTTCCCGGGGGGGGGGGCATTTCAGATTTTGGGGTGGGGGGGTAGTGCCAGCAGTTCCAGTTGATTTATTATTGGACATATTTTTTTCTCCCGGGGGGGGGCACTTGGCTTTCCCCGAGGGGGCAGTGCGCCCTCCCCCAAGATATAGCTGAAAGAAACCCTGCTTCCACTATTACCATGGTAACATCGTGTCATATCTTCTAGTTCTTAATAGATCTGAAAACGTTGATGTACTATTTTGTCTTGATGTACTATTTTGTCTTGATGTACTATTTTGTCTTGATGTACTATTTTGTCTTGATGTACTATTTTGTCTTGATGTACTATTTTGTCTTGATGTACTATTTTGTCTTGATGTACTATTTTGTCTTGATGTACTATTTTGTGCTTGATGTACTATTTGAAGAGCTGCAAATTTGTTTATGTGATAAGGTATTATTCAATTTACTGCGAAATTGTCTTTATGATTAGTTATCAATTTGACGTACTGTGGAATGGTCTTTATGTCTATTGGGCCTTCAATAATGCCCTGATAATGTTCGTTCCCTACTTCAATAATGCCCTGATGTTTGTTCCCTACTTCAATTATGCCCTGATAATGTTCGTTCACTACTTCAATAATGCCCTGATAATGTTCGTTCACAACTTCAATTATGCCCTGATAATGTTCGTTCACTACTTCAATAATTCCCTGATAATGTTCGTTCACTAACTATTTAAAAGCGCTGAAGATTATTCATGCATGGAGTAAAGAGAGAAACTTAGGCTGACCTCTTCATCCCCACTGACGTCTGCTCGTCAGCTTACGTCAATAATGTAGGATTAAATAGTCAAACTTCTTTTAAGGGGACAGAACCAATCCATCATTTTACTCAATTACGTCCCCTAAAGTAACATTTATATTGTGACAGCATTCGATCAAAAATATAGTAAACAAAAAGTAAGAATTAATTACGAAAGCTAAGAGTTTTAAATAAATAATTTGTCCAAAGAAGTCATGGACATGAGAATTCCATTAACATGGGAAAAACATGATAGCGTAATTAACACGAGGAAAGGAATGTTAACGTTATGAAATGAGAAAAACACGAGAAACCAAGAAGAAGAGAATAGCTCTTTTTTTTTTTTTTTTAGGGAAATCAATGTCGAAAAAGTGATGGAACATGCAAGACGGTTTTCCCCAATTTTATATTCAGGTGAGATGCTGTGGTTTGGTCAAGGTTAGGGTTAAGGTTGGCTATGGTGGTTTAATCAAGGTTAGGGTTAAGGTTGGGTGTGGTGGTTTGGTCAAAGCTAGGGTTGAGGTTGTGTGTGGTGGTTTGGTCAAAGCTAGGATTAAGGTTGGGTGTGGCGGTTTGGTCAAAGCTAGGATTAAGGTTGGGTGTGGCGGTTTGGTCAAAGCTAGGATTAAGGTTGGGTGTGGTGGTTTGGTCAAAGCTAGGGTTGAGGTTGGGTGTGGTGGTTTGTTCAAAGCTAGGGTTGAGGTTGGGTGTGGCGGTTTGGTCAAGGTTAGGGTTAACTTTGGGTGTGGTGGTTTGGTCAAAGCTAGTGTTAATGTTGGGTGTGGTGGTTTGGTCAAAGCTAGGCTTAAGGTTGGGTGTGGTGGTTTGGTCAAGGTTAGGGTTAAGGTTGGGTGTGGTGGTTTGGTCAAGGTTAGGGTTAAGGTTGGGTGTGGTGGTTTGGTCAAAGCTAGGATTAAGGTTGGGTGTGGTGATTTGGTCAAGGTTAGGGTTAAGGTTAGGTGCCGCGGTTTGGTCAAGATTAGAGTTAAGGATTTTTACTGTGGTTTGGGAGCGGTTATGGTTAAAATTAGGTGACGTGGTTTGGACAAGGTTAGGGTAAAGGTAAGGTGACGTGGGTTGGATAAGGTTTTGGTTAACGTTAATTGACGTTGTTTGGACAAGGTTATGGTTAAGGTTAGGTGGTGTAGCAAACACACTTATAAAATCAAGGGACTTTATTTTGCTTGTGAATTAGAAAACAAATTTAAGATTGAAATCTCTCCAACAATTTGAATGTTATAAATACCAACATCAATTTAAAAACCAATTATTTCATTCTATTTCATGAGACAGAGAACATCTGGTTCTGTACTGTGGCAGTGGTCCAAGATGGTTCTGGTATAGCAGAAAATCCATCTCTCTCATTCTCTCTCTCTCTCTCTCTCTCTCTCTATCTCTCTCTCTCTCTCTCTCACTCTCTCTCTCTCTCTCTCTCTCTCTCTCTCTCTCCCTCCCTCACACACACACACACAAACACACCCCCACCCCCCCCCCC